CTAAAAAATATTAATCAGTTTAATACTATAATAATATACTGAACAAATTCAGTAGGTAGTCTATAGAATAAACATTCATCAGATTAATAACAAATATTTGAATAAAAAGTGATTACCATTGTTGAACTTTATTTAAAACGAAACATAGTAGCAAAAACGTAACGATACCTATTAAAGATAAAAAAAATTAAACGTTAAATATTCTACAATATACGTACAGTAAATAAATATTATTAAGTAATTTTTCAGTAAAATTATTTTTTTAAAGTCTTRATTKAATGGATTGATACAAAAATAATAAAATTGTCAAATGTTAGCGACTTAAGCAAAAATGTATGTACCTATACAATACCTTATCCGTTCGTATTTAGGTTCATGGTTTAATCTTTTTATTGTCATTCAATCTGTTTTACGAAAAGAAGAGTATAAGAACTTCATTCCACACATTTAAATTTTTTTCGTTAAATGGACACTTCTTAACTAGCCATCTATTAATGAGTTATTAAACGTATAATATTAGAACGTCCAAATTATGGCTTACAATAATAAATTGTATAAGTCGATTACTTACGAAATTATGAGAATTTCTAAAAATATAAAACAGAAAACAGTTGTTTACMACATCTGTGCTTCACATTTGTTCATTTAAATGTAAAAACATAACAGCATATATCAAAAGTAGTAAGATATTTTAGAATTGGAAATGCTTTTTTTTAATTTAAAAAAAAAACGAATATCTATTATAATCTGTTTAAACAAATACAATAAGTAATATATACATGAAAAATTTATAAAGTTTGATGGGTTTATTGAAGTTGGGAAAAAGTTAGGACAAAATATTTATTGTATAGTGTGCATAATTATTATTGTAGCCTGTAGGTAATGATCTTATTGAGTGGCCACTTGAAAAGTCGAAATTTGAATAGTTACCATAACAATGCAAGTGTGTATGCAAATGAAATAACATTGACCATCAACATTTTTAGCACGATTTATTATACCACTAACCAATAACCATAATGCTAGATGTGTGAAAATAACGTTATCAGGTGTACCTATTTGTTWCCTAGTATATAAATTWATGAATTCACTCGATTAATTTTTGTGGATAAATTTAATACCGAAAACAGAAAAACTTCATAATATTATTATGCATTTAAACCATTTTAAGACAACCGGAAATAGTATATGCTCTTTGTGATCACTTTAATTTCATTTGATATATTTATAGTATATAGAACAAAGCGCGTCTTGGCGTGATATGGAAATAGTTCCAACCGTACAACGTTTTGTAATAATATTTAGTGCGTTTTGCTGCATTTTTTTTTTTCAATACCAAGAATAGATTTAACACAGAAAATACAAGGTTTTGTTGTAATTTGCAAATAATTCGGTTGCCCTAACGTCACGTATGAAAATAGTACGTTGTAAAACAATATTTATTACTCATCTAAAAACACCATTTAACGTACGTTTTGACACTATAAAGGTATTGTATTTCAACCGCAAACCATTCGATTTCCCGTAATTTTTTCAATAATCATTATCAATTTATAATGTTTTGAAATGTCACCCTTAAATATTGCATCCCGTTAGTTCGTTACATATTGTAAAACAAAATGCGATGAATTAATAACTTTTTGCAGATGATAATTGTTATTAAGTTTCTAAAATATATACCTAATATTATATTTCGGTTACCTATGCAAAATGTATTAGACTGTATTACACTGATTTTTTATCACATATTTTGTGTATATAATATTATTAACATTAGTATTGAGTGAATCTGACATCCTGTTGTTGATGTTTTTTGTTTCTAACGTGAAGTTATCAGTTGACTCGGTGTTGTTTGACTTGAAACCTTTTAAGTGGCTCAATAAGTACCTGTTTGTTGTACTTATGTTTTGACCATTAAATTACCATTAAGCATAATTATTATGCCTACCTACAAATGATAATTATGAATTAGGTAAAAAGGAAGACGGTAATATTTAAATTTCATTTTGAGCAGTTCATTGCTAAACAGATTCGAGAATTATTTTTATTGTAAAATGTGAAACATATATACAATATCGCGAGTAGCTAAAAGGATATTTTTCAAATTTATTTTATATTAAACGTCGTCTGTAGTCATAATATTAGATGTACACGTTTAGACCCATTTCAGTCCTATACGATACTGTTGTTTGATACATTATTACAATATTGTTAATTTAAAAAAAATTAAGCAAACTCTTAGCGATATAGTAAAACACAATCCTCTTTTTAGCTAAAATCTAAAAATAAATTTTCCCAAGTCTATCACATCGCAATAATAACATTTAAAAAAAGTATATACCACATKAAATCGTTTACCGTATCTACCTACAATGTTTTCAACGGATTATGCGAAGGTTTAAATGAATACGTCATCATCAATATAGTTTAACTACGACGTGTTTATGAGAACACTTAGGTATTATCTTAATAAAATTATAATATTATACACCATTGAGAATAGATATTAAAAGTGCAACAGCTATAGTGTTAAATGTTATAATTTAAAAATGTGCATATAGATTGCGAAATTTAACCTCTTCATAAATAAAGATACTGCAGCCAGTGCCTGATATATAATATTASTAGCTAAACCTATGCGCTTTAAAGCCCGTTAAAAATACTACCTCTTATTATATATGTCACACAAAACAGTTTATGTTTATACTACATATAGATAGATAACGGTACTAAGTAATGATCTTACAGCGATATTCAATTTAGTTTATCATTAAGTAAATTTATTTGTTCTATCAAGAAAGGTCTGACAATATTCAAGTATTCAATAATTGAATGATATATTTTATTGAAAGGCATTTGGATACGCAATATTTTTTGTTCTTCCTTCTAGTGCGTACACAATTAAGTCAACTTTATCGACACGTGAACCTGCAGCTATTCATGTGAGAAGCACGGATTTTTCAAAATCAGTCCATACACTTGTAGCGACAATCCTTGTGCTTTGTTG